AATGTTATTGACTGCGCTGCTGATTAATAGACACTGGATGAGCGCAAACAATGACTCTAAAATGTTAGCTCAGCACATCAGTGTTTCCAGGTGTATCCAGGTGTCAGGAGGTTCTACTGCAGATGTTTTAAGATAGTGTAAAGCTTTCAGTGTCTCCAGAGGGAACTATGTGGAGTCTAAAAAATATTAATAAGTGATGTCAGACAGATTTAAAGCTGTCCTACAGTGTCACAGCAGTGAGCTTCAGTGGAATCAGATGTTTATGTGTTCAACTTATCAGATACATAAAAAGAAAAGAGTATTATCCGTCTGTTACCTTCCTGTAGACAAGGCCCATGACAGCTGTCTTCAGTCTCATCCCGACAGTGAAGCAGTGGAACATGTATTGATGATGGAGGACAGACTGCAGACAGGACAGCAGGAAAAGCAACGAAGCAAACAGGAAACCTTTCCACATCTCAGCGTTTTTGTCCCTCATGAAACCCAGCAGCAAGCTAGTGACAACAACAACGATAAGCAAAAACAAGAATAAACAATAATTGCAGACAGTTTCAGAGCAAAGTCTGTTGGTTTTACTTAAATCACCCAAAACATCACATTATTGTGTCTTTGACGTTTCAATAATGTTTTATTTCAAACGACAAACTGACAGAAACCATCAGCAGTCACCTGAAAACCAGAAAAACTTTTCCTGAATATGTACACCAGGTGAAACTGGAGCTGCAAACGTCAAAGAGAGCAGAGAGAGACATCAGAAAACATATTTGTGACCTCTCTTACACTCACCTGAGAACTTGCGGCACAGCGAACATGAAGGCGTCATGCAAAAGGAGACACAGAGTACCACACAGGAAGTAAAGCCCAAAGGTCTGCCCCAAAGTGAGCAGGAGGAGGAGGCTATAGTCCTGCCCCTTACTGTTCTTCCTCAGCAGGTGCGTTTTTTCTGTCATTGCAGCAGAACCACAGGACCATGATGGTCCAGAACCAACAGGCTCTTTCCTGCAAAACATCAACACAGGTAAAAAGAATTTTCGGGGGCAGGGTCTGAACTAATGTACCAATGACCTTCACTTAAAACTGTTTTAATCCATCCATCAGCTAAACTCACTGACACCCAAAGGCAGGGTAGAGACTGACAGCTAGTCAGGAGAATTCAATTCAATTTTATTTGTATAGTGCCAATTTATAACAGAAGTTATCTCAGGACACTTTTCAAATAGAGCAGGTATAGACCGAACTCCTTTTAACATTTACAGAGACCCAACAGTACCA